CCGCCTCTATGACTGAAGCAAGATGGTATTTCGACAGTGGGTGTTCCAGACATATGACTGGGAATGTCAAGTGTCTCATGGCAGTTCAACCTAGCAATGGATCAGTTACGTATGGGGACGGACAAAAAGGAAATATAGTTGGAAAAGGTACCCTAAATGTACCAGGCTTGCCACATCTGGACGAAGTTCTCTTAGTGAGTGGCCTGAAAGCAAACCTTATTAGCATCAGTCAGCTGTGTGATCAGAATTGGAATGTGTGCTTCAATCGTGACTGGTGCAGAGTCCGTGATAAATCAGATCAAGTGGTAATGGAAGGAACACGATCTTCTGACAATTGTTATGTTCTGACAAATGAAACTGCATCTCTAATATCTAAAACAGACGAATCAAAACCGTGGCATCGACGATTGGGACACATAAAATTCATAGATATGGACAAAATGATCAAATTAGATGCTGTACGTGGGATACCTAAGCTCAAAATAGAACAGGAAGGAGTTTGTGGTGCATGTGCCATTGGAAAGCAAATAAGAGCTCCTCACAAAGCATTAAAGTTAATCACTACTGAGAGATGTCTAGAATTGGTTCATATAGACCTTATGGGACCAACTCAGACTGAAAGCATTGGCGGAAAGAAATACATCTTTGTGTGTGTAGATGATTTCTCTCGTTTCAGTTGGGTATACTTTCTGAGAGAAAAATATGAGGCATTCAATGCTTTCAAAACTCTATGCATAAGAGTACAAAAATAAAAAGACGAGCCCATTCTAAAAATCCAAAGACTGAGAAGTGATCATGGGAAAGAGTTTGAGAACTCCTTATACTCAGATTTCTGTTCTGAAAATGGGATAGCTCATGAGTTCTCGACTCCTCGAACAGCACAACAGAATGGTGTGGTGGAAAGAAAGAATCGGACCTTACAGGAAATGGCTAGAGTGATGTTACACGCATCGCATCTGCCACAGCGTTTCTGGGCTGAAGCAGTGCACACAGCATGTCATACAGTGAATAGAGTCTATCTCAGACCAGGTACGTCTAAGACACCATATGAGATATGGAAAGGGAAGAAGCCAAATTTGAAGTACTTTCATGTGTTTGGAACAAAATGCTATGTTCTAATTGATAGGGAACAAAGAGGAAAGTTTGAACCCAAGAGAGATGAGGGCATCTTTCTTGGATACTCTCCAAACAGTCGAGCTTATAGAGTTTACAACAAAAGAACGCAATCAGTCATGGAATCAGTGAATGTTGTTATAGATGATAATCCAGAAGAATCAGATGAAACATCCGTGATTGATCCAGAGACAGATCTCCCTATCAGTGAGTCGTTAAAAACAGTTGATAAAACCAAACTGTCTGACACACATGATTCGTTAGAAGAAGATAAAGAAAGCCCTGAACAGGAAAACTCACTCTCGGATGGTGATGGTAAGAATAAGCCCACCAGAACTAAGAAAAATCATCCATCAGACAACATAATTGGTAATCCATCAGATGGAATGAACACCAGGAGTCGGATGAGAAGCAATCTGATAGAAATATCCGACTTTGCCTGCTACACCTCAAAACTAGAGCCAAAAAATGTGAAGGAAGCCTTGCAGGATGACTTATGGGTTAAGACAATGCAAGAGGAGCTACATCAGTTTGAACGAAATCATGTATGGGATCTGGTACCAAGACCTGACCGTGTTAACATAATCGGAACAAAGTGGATCTTCAAAAACAAAACTGATGAAGCCGGTAACATTGCAAGAAACAAGGCTCGTTTAGTTGCTCAAGGATATACCCAAATAGAGGGAATTGACTATGATGAAACGTTTGCTCCTGTTGCAAGACTGGAGTCAATCAGAATCTTATTGGCAGTAGCGTGTATTCTGGGATTCACACTGTTTCAGATGGATGTTAAGACAACGTTCTTGAATGGTTACCTGCATGAAGATATTTATGTGGCAACACCTAAAGGATTTGAAGATCCAATTCATCCAACGCATGTCTACAAACTCAGAAAAGCCCTCTATGGGCTCAAACAAGCTCCAAGGGCATGGTACGAACGTCTGACACAGTATCTGTTGCATCATGGGTATAATCGAGGGAGTGTCGATAAAACCTTGCTTGTTAAAACCACTGGAAGTCATGTTACTATAGCTCAGATTTATGTCGATGATATTGTCTTCGGATCTACTCTACAGAAATATACTGATGACTTAGTGAAAGTCATGAATGAAGAATTTGAAATGTCCATGGTTGGTCAACTGACTTATTTTCTAGGACTTCAAGTTAAACAGAGTCCTGAAGGCTACTTTATCTCACAAGAAAAGTATGCTAAGAATTTGTTCAAGAAGTTTGATCTGGATTCATGCAAAACACCCAGGACTCCTATTCCCACCTCCACAAAGGTATCAAAAGATGATACTGGCCCATCAGTTGATAACACAGTCTATCGAAGTCTGATTGGAAGTCTGCTTTATTTAACCGCCAGTCGACCAGATATAATGTTCAGTGTTGGGATGTGTGCAAGATATCAGTCTGATCCCAAAGAGTCACATTTGATAGCTGCTAAACGTATCTTGAAATACATCAAGGGAATAATTCAATATGGGATATGGTATTCCAAGGACAGTGAACTCAGTCTGATGGCTTACTGCGATGCTAATTGGCCAGGAAATATTGAAGACAGAAAGAGGACATCAGGTGGATGCTTCTTTGTTGGTAAGAATTTAGTATCATGGCTAAGTAAGAAACAGAATTCAATCTCTCTAAGTACTGCGGAGGCAGAATATATAGCAGCTGGAGGATGTTGCACTCAGCTGGTCTGGATGAAGCAAATGCTTCTAGATTATGGTCTCACTCAAAGGACTATGACACTTTACTGTGACAATGTCAGTGCAATAAACATTTCAAAGAACCCAGTTCAACATTCCAGAACGAAGCATATTAATATAAGGCATCACTATATCAGAGATTTGGTAGAATCAAAGGAGATAGAGTTGGAATATATTCAAACAGACAAGCAATTGGCTGACATACTGACTAAGCCTCTAGACGCAAATCGGTTTGAGATTCTCAGATCTGCAGGGTTGATTAGTAAGGCAGAATGATAATACAGAAGGAGAGTGTATGATGGTCTCAATCTCGGGTCAAAATTACATCTTTGACTTCCTTTTTAATCTCTCTTCTATTTTTGTTGAGATAATATCTTAACCTTGGTTACCAAAATTAATTTGCCTCATTCAAATTTCAAATCTTCCGTTTAATCCCTGAAAAGAAGCTATACCGTTGCGTCAATCACATCACAGCTGCATGTATTCTGACAGCCGCATTGAATAGTGTTCGTCACCCTTGGGATTATATATTTCATCGGGTCAATATTGATGGGAGAAGAGTCCTAAACACTACATTTCTCTCTATTAATCTCTTACTGATTCTCTACCTAGGGTTTCTCTCTTCTCATTCCCAAATCTCACAACTATGGCGGATGCAGTGAGAAATATCATTATCAAGTTGGGAAGGAAAATCCATACACCAGAAACCGCAACGAAGCATGTGAAAACACTCCTCCAACTCGCAATGAAGAAGAAGCTGAAACTGGACTCTGCTCTCCGCGACGAGATCATAGTCACGGTGATTTCAGACTACCCTGAGTTCTATGCGGACTAGTCGGACGATGATCAAGCGATCTTCTGATGTTGGCCTCAGAAGCAAGTGACGATGTTAGCCCTGCCTCCATTGCTGAACCTGAAGATGGGAACCGTGCTGGGGCTTTCCTCCAATATTTTGCCCAGAGAGCTCTGGAATCGAAAGAAGTCTCACGTCGACGGGCAGAAGCTCGACTTCTCTACCTTCAGGCTGCACAGGACAAAGCCAAACATCGTCTTGAGATTCTACGAAAAAGGTCTAATACTTCTGAAACTCCTATTGAGATTTCCCCTGATAAGCCTGCTGAATTACTTTCTGATGATATTGAGTCTGCTCTACCTATTGCACAATCTGATAATGAGAATACGTTACTATCTGCTAAGTCCTCTTTATTTGATGATCCACACCTTTTATCTTCTGAAAAATTTGAGTCTGCAAAAGTTGTTCTTGACAGTGAGTCTGAGGGAAAAGTTCCAAAATCTGATAAGGTCGATAATTTGAGTCTGGTTGTCTACTTTGCTGATGTTGAGCGTTCTGCGCTTTCTGTTGTTCCTGTGTCTGACGTTGTTAAGTCCCCGGTTGAGGTTTGCCCAGTTGATGATCCACCTAACGTATCTGCTGAGATTGAAGCTAAAAAATGTACAAGTCATCGTCCCTCTGATTCGATTGATGGAGTTCCAGTCTATACATCCACTACCTTGGCTGAAAGTCTTGATCACATTCGTCACTTTGCGGGTTTACCCTCTGCCTCTGTACCTGAGCCATACAGAGTTATCCATCCTAATGATCCCTCTGTGCAGATAGAAAGTGATGATGAGAAAATTCTGGCTGAAGTGTATGGTCTACAAGCCCCATCGTCTGATCCCATTAGATCCCTTACAGTGGAAGAGATAGCACATCTAGACTCCACTACATTCAAAATTAGAGAAGTCTCCAAACTTCTTGCATCTTCATCTGCTCCTGTGTCTGAGAAGAGCAATTCGGTTTCTCCAAGTCCTACTGATCATTCTCCTGCTAGAGAAACAAGGAAATCCAAACGCAAAGGTGTTCCAAAAAGAGTAGCTGTGGAAACTGGTGATGATAATATTGACACTGTTCAACGAGACAAAAGAAGAAGATCAGCTGAGTCGGTGAAGGCTGAAAGTGACCCACCTGTCCAACAAGTGTTTAAAACCCTGAGATCGTCAGTCAAGAAAAAGGCCCCCGCGACTGTTTCCACCACTGCTACCAGAAAAATGAAAGCTACAATAAGGTCAAGAGGACGGAGTGTCACTCCTGATGTCCAAGTTGCTTCTGACAGTCATAACACCACCATTTACAAGCCACAGTTTGTTTCAGCTACAGCTCAAGGCAAGTGATCTACTATGGTGAGACGAGAGCTTATAGTTCAGAGATCAGTTGATGAGAATCAGTTGAATTCTTTCTGTGATATTTTAACACTGTTGAGTGAGGTTGGCCTTCTGAAGACTGTAACATCTATTTGTCCCTACTCGAAGTTGTTGACCTACGAGTTTTACTGCAATCTGAATGAGGAAATTGACAACCTTACTAGAACACAGTGCCATCAGATTTCTATCAGAGGGCAGTGGTATGTGTTCGGCCCGGACATGATCAATGACTACTACGGGTTGAAGGCTGTTGACGAAGAAGAAATTACAGATTGGGATTTGGTTGCAAGGACTCTTACTGGTGGTCAGACTCCAGTACGGCTTACATGTGATATTGACACTCTGTCTAGCTCGGTGCTTACCTCCAAATATGTTATCCTGCATCGTATTGCACTGCACAATTGGCTCCCCTCTGCACATTTTCATACTGTTGGGAAGCAACTGGCTGCTCTCTTGTTCCGAATTGGCACCAAAATGTCCATTGATCTGGGGAAGTGGATCTTCTATCATTTTCTCACCCTGATTCATCCGAGGGAACAGAAGGTAAGACTGCCTTATCCTAATCTTATCTTTGGAGTTCTGACGTCGCAGGGCCTAGTACCAACGCCAAGTGAGATTATTACTCCAACTCTGCTCTACACTGTTGATCCGCGACTCTTGATTGGCAAGCATATCTTAGATGTTGCACCTGTTAATGCTCCTCCATCTTCTGACGTTGACACTACTGTTGAGGACTCGCCACATGCGAGGGATGTTCAGCCGTCCCTACGTCTGAAGGCTCGGGTGTCTGAGCTAGAGATCGTTAATGGCATTATCACGAATCAGCTCAATGCAGCCCATACTGAACTTGCGACTGTTCTGCTTCGATTAAGCTTGACCGAGTCTGCTGCTGCTGAGACTGTGAAGTCTGATAGTGAAGGTCCCTCGAATGCTTAATAGTTCCTTTGTCTATATTTGGCAAAAAGGGGGAGTGCCTAAACTCAGGGGGAGTTTTTGTTGTGATTGTATCTTCTGGGGCTGTCTGGGCGTGGTTTTGTGAAGGCCCCATGTTTTGTGAAGAATGTTACTTGTTTTTGTCCAGCACGGCTTGTGTGCTGTTATTTCTTTTATGGGTTGTATTTCAGACTTATTCCCTTTATGCGACAGTTATCAGTTATTCTCTTTTATATCTCTAGCTAAACGTTTTGGTACTTAGTCGAGTTGTTTTGCCAAATAATAGCCAAAGGGGGAGTTTGTTAGTGTTTTTATTTTGTCCAAAAAACCACAACATATAATTGGCAATATTATTATGGCAAAATAAGATAGGGTTTAGCTTGGTGTCTGTTTACTCTTACAGAAGACTGATTGATCAGGTTCATCAACAGACGCACTGACACTGAAGATCTGATAAAGGGAGATGTTTCCAAAATGCTGAACGCGGTTTGAGAAGACAGTTTTGGAAAGAATATCAGCGGATCTGTTTTGAAAGGTATGGACCGAATCTTTAAGATTGCATTCTTCACAAATTGTCCTACCATCTACAATCAAAGATATTTTTGGAGAGTGTTCTTACCAAGGAAGTATAAGTATCCTCATTCGGTCAAGAATTAGGGTTACGAGTTTAAGAAGACGAAAACACTCCATGCTACACAGAGACACATATCTTTGATTATCATGCCTCTTCTCAAGATAATAAGTTCTTGGTGATTATGATGAAGAACTTTAGAAGAACTAACGTTGCTTAAACGAAAGGACGCAAAGATCACTCAGTTGTGGGAACAACGTGGGACTGCGTCATTTAAGCGGACTGCATCAGAGTTAGCTCTCCAATTGATGGGATTTCATTGGACTTCTGCATGCGTGGCTCTCCGACTTCAACAATCCACTAAACCTTTGTAAACTGGGTACGTACCTTGTGTGGGGCACTTGCGTGAGATTGTTGTTTCTCTACCTTTGTACATTGGATTATGAGTTAGTGGATTGGACGCCTCGGTAATCGTCCCCCAGATGTAGATACACACTGTATCGAACTGGGTAAACATCGTATGTGTTGATTTATTATCTGCTATAGTTTTCCTCTATAAACTAATCTGCAATCTAACTAACTGACTGACAATTCACGTCTCTGAATCAGTCAGTCCAGTTCATCAGTCGATTATCTCTAATTATATTCTTAAACTGAGGAAATGCAAAATTATAACAATAAACCCTACTCTATAAACACACAGATGAATAAACTTCTTGAAAATCGTATGATCCACTACAGATGGGAATGATTTTATTTCCTCTATATATGAATGTCTAGTTGATATATTGGTCACCACAGATCACTTTTCAAAATGGGTTGAAGCAATCCCTCTCAAAGAAGTTAAAAAGAGAAATATGATTTACTTTATTATTTCATTCTAAGCCTATTTCGTGAATTAAACATGTTATAATTGTCCAAGGGAATGCGCAACAGATAGCTTTTCTTGTCATAAAGACTTACTACTTGCTTTCACACGTTTCTTATTAATATATATATATATATATATATATATATATATATATATATATATATATATATATATATATATATATAGACACACACACACACACACACACACACACACACACACATATATATATATATGATGGCGATATGGGACGGCGGGGCACATTTTATTGGGTAAGTTTTGGTCCAAGTGGGGTGTCCATTTTTATTGATGAGGTGTTGGCCCAACAAGAATAATATAATGGAATCTATTGGGCTAAGGAAAGAAAGAAGCATGGAGTAAAATAAACACAAAAGAGGTGTTTTACCAAGAGGTATCAAACCCACAACCTTCCACTTAACAACATAAGCACCAACCGCCCTAGCTACTCAAATCTCTTGTGTATTAGAGGGCGGGAATCTCTACTTATGCATGGGGTGTGCGCTGGAAGCAAAGTAGTGAGGTGGGGGGAGACACGTGTATGGCTAAGATTAAAGGCTGGTCGATGCCGTACATTTGTCAACCATCTACACTATATAAGGTAGCATTCTCTCCCTTTAAGACATCATCCCTTAGATCATAATAACCTACCTAGCTTAGTGGTTTCTGGTCCTAACCACTAACCCAGCGTTATTATTCCTAGTCCACTATTTGGGCTATAGCTTGTATTTTTTATTTATTATTTGGACCGCTGTTTTGGGTTGGTATCTCAGGCTTTATACGTTCTATTTTGGGCCAAGCCCCTTGAACAATAATACAACTACTTTCCTGGAAAATTATGCCTTGCAACCGTGTGCACCATGCATGGTGCACACTGTTCTATGTTCATAATTACTGAATTATATGTTCATAATTATAAAGCTATATATTCATAATTTTTGAACTTCATATTCATAATTATTGAACTCTATATTCACAATTACATAACTCTATGTTCATAATTTTCGATGTTCATATTCCCAATTGTTGAACTCTGTATTCACAAATCACAGAACTATATGTTCATAATTTCATAACTATACAATTTAGAAATTATGAATCTACAGTACAGAAATTATGAATCTACGGTACAAATATTATGAATCTGGAGTATAGAAATTATGAATCTATTGTATAAAAATTATGAATCTAATATATTTAAATTATGAATCTACGGTTTAGAAATTATGAATCTACAGTATAGATTTTATGAATCTACAGTATAGAAATTATGAATCTATAGTATAGAAATTATGAATCTATAGTATGGAAATTATGAATCCAATTCTTTGTGCACCTTGCAGGGTGCACACGGTTGCATAGCATAACGATCCCTACTTTCCTACCCTCTTCCGTTCTCTACTTCCATACCTTGTTTATGGTGGAGCGGATCCCGACAAAATCATCATTGGCATCGTATGTGGGGAACACTATGAAAAACACGTGTTCCTAGTTTTAACTTGTTTTATCCTTTCCCCTTACGCGATCAAACCCGAGATATGTCGAAATTGTCGAGTCACAAAATGAACGTTCCATGGACCTGCAAGAACTCCTGTGTACCCGAGTTATATTGTTGTTGTAACGGGAACAAAAAAAAAATTGTTGGTGTAATTGTTTGTTTTATTGAATGGTTCATATTATTTTTATTTTAGTATTTCTTACGAGTTTTCCTACTTTACCCTTTATTATTATTTTTTCCCCTTGAATATCCCCGTATTCAGTCAGTGTCAACTTTAGTAACGAAATATTCCGTTAACTATATATTATTCTTAACTTACTCATTAATTTCCATAAGCAAGGTCTTAGGTTCGAACCTCATCCTAATCATGATTGGCATAATTGACTACATACATAGCATTCAAAGTTGAGCATAAAAAAAATAAGGAACCTTGAAAATTAATTTCTTGGTATTTTATTTTCTTTAATAAATCTAGGTTACATTTTTTTTTTGTTTAATTAATCTTCTTTTGATTATTTACAACAAGACTCAATATTTTAATTATGTTTTTGCATTATTGGGAATGATTTAGGTAATTATGGTATTAATAATTTTTGTCTGTATTTCTATAATGGTATATTTGTACATTACTTTACAAATATTGTACTACTCCGTATTATTTTTTTTAGGAAAAGGGTAAAATATGCCCTTGAAATTTACTCAAGAATTGAATTAGGCCCTTCAACTTTCAAAGCTTGCAATTAAACCCTTAAATATATTATTTTAGAGCATTGAGGCCCAAAAACCGATTGGTAATAACCTGTAATTATCGATCACTAGGGTTCCGGCAAACCTTTGGTGGGACTCTGACTATATTCCAGCCAAAAACATTGGTGAAACAGTTGGCGGTGTCATATGGTTGCCTACTCTGGGGAAGGAGAAGACGACCAATTTAATCACCGGAGAAGGCAACCAAACGACCAATTTCGCCGGTGTTTTTTGCCAGAATATGGTTAGAGTCCCTCCAGAGGTTCGTCGAAACTCTAGTGACCTGTAATTACAGATCACCAACCGGTTTTTGGGCCTCAATACTCTAAAATAATATGTTTAACGGTTTAATTGCAACCTCGAAAAGTTTAAAGGCCTAATTGACTTCTTGAGTAAAGTTTAAGGGCCTATTTGACCCTTTTCGTGATTTTTTTATTGGACAAAATTGTTCTTAGTTTCTTACATCATTAAAGTTCCATACCTATATATACATATATATATATAATCATGATTAAATGTGAACTAGGTTTTCTGTGATAAGTGTAGACTAATTTGATCCATCCATCTAGGATGATCAAATGCTAGAAAATTAATAACTGATCTCAACCATCTATCTTGCTATATCTAACAGTTTAACAGCAATGAGAAAAGAAAAGGCGATGGCATTTTGATAAATAATTTAAACTTTTAAAATGTACTTAAATATATGGTGCACTTTTGACATTATTGAGTGCATTTACACCCACTGTGAAAGTGTAGTGTGCTTAAGATTCACTTAAGAGTTTTTGGTTTAGGGTTTCATTTTTTTAAGATGAGAACTAGATTTTCTGTGAGAACTTACAGATTAATCTCATATGTCTATTTAAGATTATCAAGGGCTGAAAATTAAGAAAAAGTCCTGGTGGATTTATATAATTATAATAGTGCATTCGAAGATTAATCCTTTACAGTGCATTCGCAGAAAACTGATAACACATTTAGAAACTCTTTTTCATATGCATTGTCAAGAGTGTTCAAATGGACATTTGTAATTATAGAAATGTCATTGCATTTTTTCTTTAATTTTCATCCATTGATTATCTTAGATGGAGAAGTGAGAATAGTCTGCACATTCTCATGGGAAGTCTAGCTCTCATTTGATCTTGTTTATATATATATAGGGGAGGATTTAGGTGAGAACATGCTTCCAAGTAAAAAGCTAAACTGATTTGATCAATCTATTTGGGTAGATCAACAATTGAGCGTCGTTGAAAAATAAAGGGAAAAGGGACATGGTCATTTTTATAAATATTGCAAAC